CAAAATAAATATATAATAATAATAAAAAGAAATTATATATCCCGATACCAATTCACTGACATCTGATTATTATAGGAATAACTGTGCATTGCTGGCATCGCCGACGCCGCTGCCGGCGCTAATCGTTGCAGCAGCAGCAGCAGCAGCAGCAGCAGAAGCAGGCCTAGCAGCGGGTTAAACGCCGACGCTGCTTCGCTTTGAAGATCGGCCAGTTAGTATTTAGTCTGCAATCGTCCGGGCTCGAGGCGAGTCGGTAGAATCGCGTGCTAAACACAGCATAAACACCCGTACGCAGAACGTAATAACAGACCCTCTAATCGAACCTTGGTGCTAATACACGCTCTGCGCCTATCGTCCCCGCCTATCGCCTACTTGGCTCGACGTGTGATAAATCGAAAGCGCAATTCGATCAGCGAATCGCGATCGTCACAAGTGTTTTTTTAGTGGGCCCCAAAAAGTTATGGCTCACAATAATGGAAATTCAACGTAAGTAAAAAGTGTAACAGGCTATCCAGATCCGATGTAATCAAATTAAAAACTGTAACGATTCGAGTCCAAAGTTCTCCAAACAAAAAAATAAAACAAAAAATTAAATCTCGTGCAAATGTTGCAATCGGGTGTGAATGACTACGTAATATTCAGTTACTTCCGGCTAAATCTATTAAGAGATATCAAATTATTCGATTCGTGTGAATTGAACATATTTTTAGATCGGTTTTTGAAGAGATAATTAAATGTTGTATATACCGCTTGCATTAAATTTCATTAGTGATAAACTAGCGATAGATATGCATATGGATATGACAAATTGGTTAACTTGAAAACGAGCATATATCTGATAGCCCGTATCTCTAAATTCTACAGAGCCATACATTATTACGCCGAATAATTAAGAACCTTGTAATAAACCAATACACGTTTCTTGAATTCGAAACGTGTATCGAAATCGGCTGATGGGCCACTCAATGTGTCTCATTAACACGCTTATCTCACAAGGACAAAGACAGAGCAAGTTCTTGGCGTTATTTATATAATATTATCTCTGTGTTTAAGAGTCGTTTCATAAAGTTTAATTAAACACTTGTCTCACATTTTCTTATAAAAGGCCTAAAGACATATGTGCATATCTTTCATTATGATTCTTTTGAACCGGCGCTATGTGACTCACTTAACATTGATAAAGAGTTACGTCTGGGACAGTGGAAAGTAGTTTCATGTTAGCTGAGATCGCCCCAGCTGAAATAGCCAGACAAGTCGGAGGGTCTGTCTATCAGTTGGACTGGCTGTATAATACATATAAGTTGACTTATGTATACACATAGATTCGTATATACGACTATTTATATATACACATATAAAAAGATAAGCTTTTTTGATGGTTGATAATGCCGATGTTGACTCAAGATGTTAAAGTTTATAAAATGCTTATAGACTATATATGTACATATATATTTCTATATATGAGACACACGCACCAGACAAGGTGTATAAAAAAGTTAGAGCACGCATTAACGCGTCTATAAATAGACAAAAAATCAATCAAAGCTTTGAAATTATTTCTATTAGCATCAATTGAGAAATCAAACAATATATAGTACATATAAAGTTGTCAATGAATACATAACTTAAACTGAATTATATTAGATATTTGATTATTGGAAATTAAAATTCCAACAGGGTATCTCTTAGTGCATATTTGTATTCCATCATAGAAACTTGTTGAATAATTCGTGATTAAATTTGTTATAGTTTTGAGGTGCTGACATTGTTCTATAACAACCCAATGAAGTATATATTGGCCAAACCTGCAATTGTATTTGAAATATAATAATGATTTTGAAACAGAATATCAAACCGTAGGAGCTAAATGTAAATATTTATTCAACAATTGCTAAATCGAAACATGAGACAGTACATAAATTTAAACTATAAAAAAAAAGACATGGCATGAGCACAGTCCAAATACTCTTCTTAGTAGAGTCTGATCGAAAGTTGATTTGATTTGCTCATCTATAAATAAGTTTGGTCATTAACACTTTTGTGTTAACTTCATTTGGCGATTAACCGAGTACAATTAATTAATTATCATGTACAATTAATGTTCATAAACAAAAGAAACATTTTTAAGCAGAATTGTAAACGGCAATGCGTACGAAAAATCTTTTTGATTAATTATTAATTAATTTATCGAATATCAAGACAAATTTCCAAGACGTCAGTGAAAGTTGATTTGGTTTTTGATTTTAGAGCTAGGAAATATATGATTGAATAAATATT